TGGAGATCTGTCCCCAGGCTGGAGTGTCCCCTGCACTGCTGCAGACACAGGAACGAATCATTTACCAGCAGAAAATAATGCACAATGGCCCCTTACAGTCTGCCTGTTTGTTGGGAAAACAGGGATCTCCAGGGAGGAAAGGACTTCCTGCTACTTCTTACACACCCCATTTTGGGTTGAGGTTTTTAATTCAGCTTTTATGTAGCCTGATAACTGCTCCTCGCTGGAAGAAGAACCTTGGATAAATGGAATTTGCCCTGGCAGGGCTCTGCCTTGCTCAGTGAGGCCACCTCAGAGCTCTGGTGAGTGCCATTAATGGGTTTAAATTTGACTCTGCAAGTCCCAACATGGAAAATGTGCCTCTTGTCCCCAGAGCTTTGCAGCTTAAAATGAGTTAATAGGCTAGATCTATCTATCTATCAGGCTAGATCTGAGTGCATATTATAAATGACTAATTTACTTCTCAAATTTAGCATTTCCCCTGCTTAGATTGTGATTTCTAGGAATAATTTCCTGTATAAAGGTATTTTTTTTCTCTCTTTCTTCGCAGTGTGAATTGAAGAAATATTTGGAAACGGAGGTGATTGTTAAGTTTCTAAGCTTGGGTGTTCATGGAGTGTTTCTGGCCAACACCTAAAATTCAGTTTCCAAGGCTGGAGGCAGCAAAAGGCAAGTTTTGTAAAGACAAAATGAGACCAATGAAAAGAAATTTCCTCCCAGCACATTGGGAACCCTTCTCAACAATAAAAACCACCAAAGTAACTCTGATGTTTGTGGATTTTGTAGCTCTGTGTTCAGTCCAAATACGAGGCACCATTTCCCCTGGATTTATGGAGTTTAACACTGCAGGGAGTTTGGGATCTTCGCAAACTATAACCATATTTTACTGGTGCCAAATCTTTTGTGATCCAGGCTAGTTTGTGATGGGAATGGGTTCAAGGTAAGGTCATGAGGAATTACTTATTTTATATTGTTTCTTTCATTCCTCTGTGTGGAATTCTCAAAAGCCGGTTGCTGACTGGGTTGGTAAATCCTATCCTGCATAAATATATTGATAAATACCAAAAATTACTCCTTTTCCATCTTTGTTTGCATTGAAGAGGTTTCTTGTTTCAGTGACTTTTTCCTTAGAATATCCTTTTTGCAAGCCCTATGAAAAGCCAGGTAACATATCCTCACATATCCTTAGTCCTGTCCCATGTCCATGTTTTAAGATCAATGTCACAAACATCTTTCAAACATTGCCTTTTTTCTCTTTTTGACCTTAAATGTTAATGTACTCTTTCTTCTTTATTTTTTTCAGAAATTCTTTTATTATTTGACATGAACATGCAGCAGATATAAGTTTTCTCTAAATTAAGTGGAAACTCCATTTTTTGCATATATTTTCTCATGTAATTAGCCATCAGGTTGGTAAAGGGAATCTGATTTTCAGCAGAGGAACAGAGGTTTCTTTATCTTTGCTTTATCTAGAGGGATTTTCCATATTTTAGAAAAGCTGTAGGCGCAGGTAAAGATAAGGAAAGAGGAGGGCAGGTATTGGTGTGCTCACTGAGTAGCAGATTTAGAGAAATGGGGGTCCCCTGGGCCTGACTTGCAACCAAATGACCAAAACACTTTGCCTTTTATTTATTTATCCAGCTACTTAACACTTCTTACTGTTTCTCTTAAATGAATTAATTTACCCTACAAAGCACTCCTCGCAATAATCAATGACTCATTACACTGAAAGCCCGCAGGAAATACTAATTAAATGAAAAATGTGCAAGAGGAATGTGCAACTTTTGTGTTTCTAACGACCCAGATACTCAGGGCTTTCTTTTTTTCCCAAGTTCTCATAAGTTACAGGAGAGGTTTTCGCCTTCAGCCACAGGGAGCTGAGGTGGCTTGGAGGGTGGTGATATTTCCCAGACATACCAAATCCAGTTCATTTATCATCAATACCCACAGGAAATAATAATCTGTTTATACATCACATTTCTCTGAGCTCTGTGAGGTTCTAGTTATGAATTCTTTCCAGCTGCTTTTCTCATTCCCACAGCAGAATTGCCAGGGAAGGGTTATCCCTTATCCATCACTTACTCCAACAATTATTGACTGATAGCCACCGGTAATTCCAACTCTCTGACAATCTTTGATAAAGATTTTGTGTTGTTGTTGTGCTCTCAAATGTCTCCTCACCCATAAAGGCCTTGAACTCCAGGCTGGGTAGATGGCACAGCCACCTTTTTGGGATCTTTGAATGGGAAGAGCTTAATGATATGGAAGATGAAGGTTTTATAAGGATAGAAATGCCAAAAATGAGAGTGAGTTCAAACCTCCTGGGAGGAGCTGTGTCCTGCTCCCTTTGGTGAAGGGATGTCTGGAGCAATCAAGGTTTCTTTTATCCTGGTCAGTGATTTTTGGAGAAAGTATGTGAAGCCAAGCCATGAAATAAAGCAATCAGAACAAGGTAAAGTAAAATCCCCCAAAATCAACACCAGCACTAAAAAAACTCCAATAAGGACAAAAAGAACAAAACAAAAAAAGCAGTGGCCCAGCTCCTTTCCTTCAGATCCTTTACACTGATGGTTTTGTAGGATACCAGCTTTCTGTTCTGGTTTTCTCCCCACCAAATCACCCCTCAGATTTGTTCCTCCCTCCAAATTTGTTTACATTTTTTGCAGATTGATGTTTCCTTTTCCATCAGTCCATACCTGCATTCAGGTACTGCTGCACCCATTTATTTTAACAGGTGACCCAATGCCAGCCTGGGGCACTCCCCATCCTGAAAAAGGTCAAGCCACAAACACCAGAAATAATTATTTTGCTTTTTTAAGTAACATGGGAAAAGAGGGAGAATAAGAGAGGAATTAATTCCCTACTCTGTTTTAAGGCAGCAAGAATTTAAGTCAATTTAGCTCCTTGTGCTAATTAATATTCCCAAAGAGCTGTAAAATGTAACAACAGAGAGGATGAATTATTTAAAGTGGAGGTGACCAAGAGAAATCTGGATGAACATGATACTGCCTCTACTTTTGGTTTTCAGGCAATAAATTGCATTCAAAAATGTGGCAATGCATTGAAGATTTTGGTAAAACTTTGTTCTCAGCTGTAAGGAATTGTATTCTGTAGAGATTTCCTGTGCTGCAGGACAGGGAAGGCAGGGCAGGAAGGGTAAATTAGGGAGAAAAGAAGATTTTAATCCCAAAGAGATAGAAATGCCTGGTTTAGCCCCTAACTCTGGAATTTTAGAGAGAAAACAAATGGTGGTAGTAGGAGTAGTTATGCACTGAATTTATTTATTCAGTAAATCAAGAGCTGGGTATTTTTCTTGCTCCTTTGTGAAGGAAAATTATAGAAATCTTTTCAGTGCTTCAGGGGATTGATACAGGTTACATTCCTGGCTTTCAGTCTAGTTTCTCCCTCACCAGCCTTTGGAATTCAGTGGGACTGATGGATCACATCATTTCAGGAATTAGGCCCTAAATTCTGATGTCTACAAAACATAAAAGAGCTTGCTTGAATTGTGTGTATTTTCCCCTCAACCTGCAATATATTCCTTGAAGACAATAGAAAAAAAATTCATATAAAGTTGTCTCTTTATTTGGAGGTACTTTAATATCAGAGGAGATTTGCTTCCAGCTAAGAAAACATTTGTTACAGAACTAAAAATGTTTGATATGCTGCTGTATTAGATAAAGTTTGTTAGTTCACAGTGGCACAGTGCTGATAATTGAAGAACTCGCAGGATTTTCAGCAGTAAAAGATCCCCAGTGAGTGCTGAGCTCAGTGGGAAAATGTGATGTATAAATCTGCAGTGAGAGCAGAGGAACAGGAGGGGAGCAGCTCTGGGAGCCCCACACCACCACCAAAGGACGTTAAAGAGAAATAAAAGGGAAGAGATGATATCTTGGGGCATAAAAGCTGTTTCCAAAGAATTTTCTTGTTAAATATAATGTTGGACAAGAGCCCACGGAAATTCTCAACTCACTGGAGACTCCTGCTGTCGCTTGGCATGGTCTGGTCTAGTGGAGGAATCAGCCTCTAGCCCTGTCCTGGAATATCTAATTCCATGAGGAGAAGTGGTCACAGGAGATGAGAGAGATGGGAAAAGTCCAGGCAAGACAACCATGGCCAAAGTTGATTGATAAATTGGTTTTGTGTGATGGGATGAGGAAAATCAGCTTGTGAGGAACTGATGGCTACGATGAGGGTTTGTTATATCCCAGGTTAGCCAAACCTGGATGATCCCAGAAGGAATGATGAAGGTTTGTTTGTCACTGTAGGACACGAAACACCCCAAGTTCACACTGCTGCTCTCAAGGTGAAGAAAACAGGAGTTTATTTTCTGACTCCAACATTTATAGTTTTCCAAAAGTGACAGTAGATTGGAGGGTGAAAGTGCCACTTCTCCAATGACACTGGGCAAACCAACAGTCCATCAAATTTCTCCTCCTCCATAAAAGAACGCAAAACAATTAGTTATTTATGGAAAGTGTGTGAGAAAGTTTGCTACAAGAATGTCAACATCAAAAGGCTTAGAAAATCTTAAAAAATCAGGGCGACATTTGTTATATCCCAAGTTAGCCAACCCTGGATGATCTCAGAAGGAATGATGAAGGTTTGTTATACCCCAAGTTGGCCAAACCTGGATGATCTCAGAAGGAATGATGAAGGTTTGTTATACCCCAAGTTGGCCAAACCTGGATGATCTCAGAAGGAATGATGAAGGTTTGTTATATCCCAAGTTGGCCAAACCTGGGTGATTTCAGAAGGAATTATGAAGGTTTGTTATATATCAGGTTTGCCAAACCTGGATGATTTCAGCAGGAATGATGAAGGTGAGCCTGGAAAGAGCCAGAGAGGGAACAGCAAAGCCACCAGAGGAATGTGACAACAAACTCCAGAGAGCAAAGGCAGTGCCATGGAGGGGGAGGCTTGGGCACCTGTTGTGACAGCTGTGACTAAGCATACAATGACCAGATCAGGGTGAATAATGAGACAATCTGCTCATTTAAGAGTGGATATACAAACCCAGCAGGGACATGAAACTGTTTTGCTTTGTTTTACTGATAATGTGTTATTGGAGTCATGTCTCTGGCTGTGTCCTAGAGTGGGTTCAAAACAATTACTTACATAACACAGGATATATTTAAGTCAGGGAAAAGCAGGGAGGGAGAAATGTGTGTATCTCAATTTCTGGTTAAGAAGGAAAATGAAATTATGTTTTTCCCAATAGATTTATTGATTCCCCTTTTTCCAGCACGGGAATCTCCATCTCAAGGGCTGGATCCCCCTTGCAAAACTTGAGCTGCAAAGTAATCAATGAACAAGACGAAGCCCTGCATCCCCCCCTTCCCAGCTGCTGGTTCCTACCCTAACAACCATTAATTATTCTAATAGCAAACTCCTTAAAAATAACTCAATCAATGCATTCTCCAGAAGTTGGAGCCCATCTCTGGATGCCTCTAGCCTGGTCCATGGTGGCCAGGCAATAACTGATGCAAGCCCTGAGGTGCTGTTCCCTTGTAGTGCTCTGCTTTAGGAGGGGTCAGATGTCTTCTGGATCAACTTTGGGGTAGATTTTGAGGTGGCAAATGTGCTGCTTTCAAAAATTTCTTCCATGGGTGAAAGAAAATTGTGCTTGCCGCTCACAGAGCAGAGTAATGCGCAAAACAACAAAAGGAAAAATTAAACTCACAAAGCCAAGAAACAGCAAAGTCCAGGGCAGCTGCCCATGCTGCAAACCTGATTCACAAGTGATGGCATTCCATGAAATAGTGACCACCCCTGCTTTAATTTCAAATTAAAACCATATTGAGAAACTTGGAATACAAAGACAAGATTTGTGGGATGTAAATACCTGGTGAGTGCAGCCAACCAGCACAAAATATCTTTGGAGGGAGCTCAGTCCCTGCTGGAGTCCCTGTGCCTACAGATCATCGTGTACAGGGAGTAATTACAGCAGGGTTTGTCAACTAATTTGGTGGAGGGATGAATTCTTTATCTATTAATCAATGTAGGGAAGCATGAAGCACCTATAAACCATTCATCTCACTTTAGCTTCTTGTTTACCTTTAATTAGAGTTGCTCTGATTTGATTGGGGAAAATGGAGGTACCTTGGAATAGAGAGGTGTCAGCTGGGGCATCTTGGACAGCCCTTCCTGCTGTGGGATCCTCAGGGAAATGGGTTGGCTAGTTTGGATTTTTATTTCCAAAATGTGCACCGATAAAATGTTCACAGGGTAAGACCCCTAAATCAGAGGTAAATAAAAAGATGGTTACAGTGCCAGCACCTCACCAATGAGAAGGAAGTTTATAGCAGTGTGAATTAATTAATGTCTCATTTACATCTGCTATGGGTCATCCCTCTTTTCTCGTTTTTCCCATTCCTTTTTTATTATATTTATGCACAAGGAAGTTATTTATTAGGAAAATTTCATTTCTTTGCCTATTTCTTTGTCTACAGTTGAAAGAGAGTAAACCAATGTTTTTATTATGCTTTTATTTTATTTTTTTCCCTTTTAAAATTGTTTACCTTTTTCCCAGAGTTTCCAGGAGGATTATAGGTAAGGCTGTGACACCTATACAGAGTTATGGGATGTTTTATAACTGATGTGTTATGTGCAATGCAGGTAAATGCAACTGCAAGCACAGGAAGTCCCAGTGGGTCACTCACATTTCATTTCATTTTAGCTTGACTTTAAATCAGTGATATTTAATATTTTTTTATAAGAGAACTCTTAAAAATGCTTTTATAAAATGAAAAGTCCTGGTTAAGCCTTGGAGTCCTACACAGCAGTGTGGAAACCTGCAGCTTCACTAAAAACCATGCAGTAAATGTGCCGTTCCTTGGTGCATGCTTATTATGGGTAAATATTGTTCTCTGGGTAGTGCCTGGAAATTGTAATTAATTTCAAATACTCCCTCTTTTTGTCCACGTATGCAGATTTCAAATCTGTGCCTGCGCCGGTTTTGACACCGTGCAATGAAGCATCCGAGCTCTCAGATGTCTGGCTCTTCCGAGTTGTGAAATGAGAAAACAAACAAACCCAACCATTCCAGCCCTGTCAATCTCCTTCTCAGTGGACAGATGCCCTGGTGCCAGAAAAGCTTCATCCCATGATCCCACACCTCTTGGCAGTGCCAAAAGAAATGCCAGAGATCTACTGGATGCGAAAGCACGACAGTTCCTCACCCCAAAAATAGGATTTATGGAAAAATGGGCCACACTGGAGCTCCTGGGCGAGGCTGTGTGGGGAAATGTGTGCAGCCTCTTGTTCTGACATTCCTGGTCTCCAGATCATCCATCTGATTTGCTCCTGGAGCAAGGTGCCTCTGGGCAGTGATGGATTAACTGGAGAGGGTCCAGGTTTCTGGAATGAGCCAGGTACGTTGGTAGAGTTTGTGGATTGCATTGTTAATTAATTAAATAGTATCGTTAGTTACGGTTTTACATATATTATTGGGGGCTAATCTGATGGGAATCAGCTAAACTTTCTGAGGAAAATGGAGAGCTTGGGTGTTAACACAGACAGCTCTCTGAGCTGCCTGTGGCCATGTCCCTTGAAGGCCATCACTGGGGCTCCCAGGTCAGGTGTCCTGTTGGGCACAGGATTTTTTGGAGGGGGATGAGGCTTCAGGCTCATTTGTCCAAGCAGTCCAGCGGACATCTTGGTGGGCACAGTTCCAACAAAGCCCAGCCTGGTGCTGCCAAGCCCCCCAAGATGGATAAAACCACCCTGGAGTGCCCACTGCATTTATTGATCTAATTTCAGTAAAAAAAGACCCTGTAAATCCCACTGCTGAATTTATTGTACAGCAAACTGGCACTACCTGAGCCAATGAGCTGCTTTGGTACAGGCGAGGTTTTCTTTTTGGCTAACGATTTGTTTTCAGTTTCAGTTCACATGTGGCATCCCAAGAAGCTGCAGCATTCAGGGCCTTTTTAATGAATTCCTATCCTTGCATATTAGTGGGAATATTTCCACTGCAGCAAACACCATAAACAGTTTCCACACTGGGGTGTGTTATACTGCCAGAATTGGTTCTTCTGATGGTTCATTTCTTTTATGCTGAGAATTCAGGACCAATTCAGCTTGGTTTTATGCATCATTAGAGATTTACAATTACTTTGCTATAGTTTCTTTCTGGAAGCCTATCTCTCATGGTTAATGCTATGGGAGTCCTGTTGTGTAGAGGCTGCTATGAGCCACCTTATAGCAATAAAGCATTTGAGAAGGATTTGGAATTATGAGTGGCTAAATTCTCCATGCAGTGCCTGTAATGCTGTTATCCCTTGCTGAGCTTGGGTTGAAACCCTTTTTTTTCTTCTCCCCAAATTAGAAAAAAAGAAGTGCAGTTTCTTTGAGAGGTTTTGAATCATTTACATGTAATTTTTTTTGTTGTTGTTGAACTGCTGCAGTCAGAAATGAGGAATTGTGCAAATTTCCATTTGGATTTCATGATCCTTAAAATACATTTAGGTTGTATTAGTATATAATGAAATAAGGCCTCCTCATTGTTTTTTTAATCTCACTTTTAAAAAGACTAATCATTATTTGGGACTTTATTTTGGCTTTTTTTTTTTTTGGATTTTATGTGTATTGCTAAAGCCTGTAAATTCCACAAGCTTTGTCCTTGCACAATAAGCAGGGGATCTGCATGTGTTATAATCCACATAACTCACACTTTACATAAATACACTATTGCACTGAAACAAACATGATATGCAGTGCATAATATGGGCCTGATCTAAAGGCCATTAAAATCAATGAAAAGATTTCAAATTAACTTTTATAGCCTTTAGATCAGGCTCTAAATGGGCAAATTACAGTTATGGAGTTTCCCATTTACATACCTGTGTGCTGCATTTAATGTATTTTATGGAATTGAAATTACTTGGTCCTCTTTTTCATGCTTTTTTAGGCTAAGAATTTGCCAAGGGCATCAACAGCAGTTTTCCCAGGCTCCAGCACAAGGATTATGTAGTCAATCCACAAATGACTCAAATCTTTGAAGAGAAGGACATGGTTATCAGAGAGGCTTTGACGACAGCAAGGACGGGAGTGCTATCTGCCTTTTTCCATCAGAGATCCCCTTTCCCTCTCATTAACATACCCCGGACATCAGCACAGCCATCGGCCCGAGGGAATCGCTTCCAGCTTTTAAGGGAATATTCACAAGACCTCGCCCCTGCGTTGTCTCAGACAGATCAAACCAGATTTGCCTCGTGTAAGGTGAGAAGAAAGGCTGGGGCACAGCAGCATTAGGGGAGGCATTCAAAGGTTGCAGGGAATTTTCAAATCTATTGTTACATCTTGAAAATCTTTCTTCCTTTACAGGGTTTTTCAGTCCCACTGAAGATGTGATGTGAAAGCTGCTGCTGCTGTAAGTGGGGAGAGGAGATGCCTCTACCTGCTCCCTGCCAGTGCCCTGCAATGAAAAATGCTTTTGGAGCAACACTGGAAATAAGCCATCAAAATATCTGATTAAACCTCTTAGGAAACTCTCACTAATCACCTTCTCTGCTCTTGATGGAATGTATTTATGCATTATAAATATACTTACTATGTGTGTGTGCTCCATAAATCACACCCAGCACTTGTATGTGATGTATAAGCACATTCTATAGAACACACACAAATACAGATGCCAAGCTCCCACAGAGTTCATCACTGGAAAGTGTTTGAAGGATCTGATCCTTAATATTTAATGAGCAAGATGCTATTTCCTTCCTCAGCTTTTATCTCTGGTTTGGCATAGTCATTAAATTTGTTGTTTCCTTGCAGGATTATATAATTTATGACCTAATTTTAGACTTTTGTGTAGCCGCGTTGAAACACTCGTGGCGTATCCCGGTTTCTCCACACGGAGTGTTCCAGCATCAGCCACCAGCTCCAGCACGAATTCTGTGAGCTGCCTGTCAGCAAGGAGTCACAGGCATGAAAGGAAAACAGCCCAACAATATCCAGGCGGCATTATAAGATTAGTTTGTGGGGGGTTTTGCCCTGCAAAAAAATATGATTTAGCAGCGTTTCCAAAGCTGTCTGCAGTGCTGGCAGGAATCCCCAGGTAAGACAGGCAGCACCCAGCAACTCTTATTGCTGAAAATATTTAATTTTTGTGACTTTCAGGCTGCTCTGGGACAGCAGTGCAGGGAGAGCTGTTGGAGGTGGGGAAGGATGACACTCAGGGCTTTAGAGCCACTGCCAGCCCTCACATCTGGAATTTCCTCCCAGCACCAGCCTGGCTAATGAATATAAAAATTATAAAATTTTTTTGCTGCACCAGGTGCTGCTGGATAACTCCAAAATGAATTCTTGTAAAGCTGCAGCCACGTTTTTTTGGTGCTTTCTGTGTGTCCGGAGTAATTGAGAGATGCTGTAAATAGTGCCATGAGCTTCAGTTATTCTGTCAATTTAAACCATATTGTTGGGACCAGTCTTTCATCAAATTTAATATATTGGCTGTTGCATTAATGCACTTTGAGAGCACTTTATCCTGGTGTTCCATAGGGAAGTGGCTTGTGGCTGAGGAAGGATTTGGTGCTTCCTTTGTGCCTGCAGGGCTGTTTGGAGGTGTTTTCCTCTTTTTCCACCTTATCCAGAATATCCAGAATTGGGGTGCCCAGACCAGCAGCAGGAACACAAGGGACACTCTCTAACACAACTTCATGTACAGGGTGAGGAAGGAAAATGAATCCTCATGAAAAGGGGACATTAATTCTTGGATTAAACAAAATTGGAGAGTTTGTCTCCTTGGCTTTAATGGAGCAGTTCCAGGAAAGCAGCAGAGAACAAAGTGTTTTCAGTATCACATAATTCAAGAGTAAAATAATAATTCCAATTACCACTGCAGGCACTTCTGGCCTTGGGAAACCTATGCTAATATTTATTATTATATGATTGACCTCTGATTTCTTCATCATTTACATTAGCAACCCTGATATTCTTAGTAACATCCTTTAAATCATAGAAGCAGGTGTCAACAGTGCACAATGAAGTCACATCCTTCAGACTTTTTATTTACTTAGCCCGTTTTTTCCTGGTTAAATAACATTGTGAGATGCAGAATCTCACCTCCATGGATCCTCTAGGGGTGTATATAATCATGGAATGCATTTTCTATAATCTGAAAAAATGAGTCAATCCTATCAGAGGTCCAAGCAGTTTTACAAAGTCAGTATTTCACTCCCATCACTGCCTGACATCATCTTCCACACAGCACAAGAAAATATTTACTTGGCACTTTGACATGAATTGTCACAAAGCCTTTGGAATGGAAACTAAAAAGTGAGAATTAAAATGGAATAACTTGGCTTAATGAATTTAGCCTATTTTCTGTGTGCTGGGTTTAGATGCCAGATGATTTCTTATAATGTCTGGGATGGACATGGACACCTCCAGTCCCTGATCTTCAGTGAGGTGCCTACACACAGATCACAGAGCTGCCCAGAATACCCAAAGCTGGAAACCGATCCTCTTCTCCATCATCTGAATATTTTCTTTGCATAAGTGAGCATTTCTCTGGATGAATTAAGACACTGCATTAATTTTCCAGGTGCAGGTGAGGTGCCAAGGGCTGCCTGGGGCTTTTCACTGCCTTCAGCAGAGTTGATAAAATTGTATTTATCCACAAAGAGACTGAATTTTTCTTTTCAGATTGTTCTGGGGATGAGTCAAAAAGTTTAAACTCTCTGTCTCCCATATCCACTGCTCATTTCCTGCTGCTGTTCACTTCCAGAGAGCACAGCCAGGGGCTTTTCAGCATCTCCTTGGGAAATGTTCCCCATCTGTGGAGCTGGGGAAAGAGGCACCCACCCGGAGAGGGCTGTCCTTGATCATCCTTGTCCCTCATCCATCATTTTTTTACTGAAATTAGATCCCTCTGAACCCACATTGCCTTGAAGGGTTTACCTGGCTCAGCAGGTGACAGGATTTGGGATGTTCCAGACAGATTTTGCATTTGGGACAAATCTTTATGGTTTGTGAGCCTCATCCAGTTGTCAGGCAGGTGAGTCCTGTTCCCCTCTCTGGATGCACAGCCCTAAAAACCCCCTGTGATTTCTGGCTGTCAGTGATGGAGCAGGGTCAGAGCAGCCCCAGATCCTGCTCCTGAGGGCTGTCGGTGTGCAATAACCACCAGCAGCCCCTGCGATGACACAGCCGGGCACCGAACACCTGCAGGGGAGCTCCTCGGGCCAAATTCCCCCCGGCTCCAATCAGGATTTTTCCGGAGCTGGGGCCGCTCAGGGCAATCCCGCTCCTGGCTCAAGAGGCTCTTCTAATCGACTGCTGAGAGACTTATTAGCAATGTAAAAAGGAATCGCGAGCAAGGAAAGTATTCTTCCTGGCTGAAATGCGCTTTGTAAAATTAGTTTTGCTGACAGGAGTAATTGGGTTAAACTCCTCGCGACTGTGGGTGCTATTTGTTGCCCCTTATCTTACCCGAGCAAAGGGTACCAAACTCTTTGAACTTTGTAAATAATTGTTTCTGAAGTGCTGGATTTTTTTTCTCTCTATAAATTCTTTAGAGAAAAGCTGGTTTCTAGTCCTCTCTCTGCCAATGCTTTTACAGCCTTTTCCCACTCTTGATTTATTTTCCCTCTTTAGATTTGAATATTTCTTAGATATTATAAAAATCTCTTTTAAGGGAGAGTGCAGAGCTTTTGCTCAGATTGGGAAAATCATTCCTAGAGTTTTAAGAAACTGGAGAGAGAGGAAAAAAAAATAAAATAGAAGCACTTTATTGTTCACTGTGGCAGATGTTGGGCTGTGGTGTGATGTGTGTCCAGTGCAGGCTCCTGGATTCAGTCTGGATTTTTCTCACTCCAGATTCCTGAAGGGTGAAGGGGTTGGACCTTTCATTCCTTCTGAGCTGAACCAGACCCTGGATTTGCTCCTCCCTTCCCAGCCCCACCTTGACATTGCTGCGTCCCTTCTGTGCTGAGGAGAGGGGCGTCTTTCTCTTGCAAACACAATTTTTTCTCAGTTTTATTTCACTTTTTCATCCACAGTAACAAACATTAATGCAGAAACAGGACAGAAACTGTCACTGTGTGCACAGTGTGCAGTGCTAGAGCCTGCAGGAAACCCATAAACCTGCAAAAACCCAGGCCAACACAGGGAGGTGGGAAAACTGAAATGCTGGATAAGCAAGACATTGTTTTCTCCATCATCCTGGAAAGTTGTATGTGAATTCTTTTAGTTATCTGCTATTTATTTCTTTACTTATTTTGGCAAAAGACACAAATAATGAGAAATACCAATGACAGATTCAGAAGCCAGCCAGGGACAAATGTTTCACCCAGGGTCCCTACAAAAATCAACCTTTCTGCTCATCTAAAACAACATCTATTAGTGGGTTTATGCTATTCTTGGGTTCTGCAGCACGGGGGAAGTAATCCCTGAGAAGACCAGCTGGGACATTTCCTTCTTGTCTTCAAGCAGAGACTCAGCTCTTCCTTGATGTCAGGGGGCTCCCACAAAGACTGATCTTCCCTCCTTCTCCTTCAGAGCCAGGGGTTTCAGGTCTTGGATCTCCAGCAGATCTTCAGATGCTTGATGATGGTCGATTCCCTTCTCCAGCTGGAGCAGGAAAGAATTTAAAATTTAGAACCATGGAATCATTCAGATTGGGAAAAAATTTTAAGGTCATAGAGTCCAGTTGTCAACACAGCAGCACCCCCATGTTCACCACTACACCGAGTCCCCAGGTGCCACTTCCACAGGTTTTCTGAGCACTTGCAGGGCTGGTGAACCCATCACCGCCTTGGGTAGCCCATTCCAATGCTTTACACCCTTTCCATGAAGAAATATTCTCTAAAATCCAACCTGAGCCTGCCCTGGCTCAGCCTGAGGCTGTTCCCTCTCCTGTCCCTGTTCCCTGGGAGCAGAGCCTCCCCTGGCTGTCCCCTCCTGTCAGAAGCTGTGCAGAGCCACAAGGGCCCCCCTGAGCCTCCTTTGCTCCAGGCTGAGCCCCTTCCCAGCTCCCTCAGCCCCTCCTGGGGCTCCAGAGCCTTCCCAGCTCCCTCAGCCCCTCCTGGGGCTCCATTCCCTTCCCAGCTCCCTCAGCCCTTCCTGGGGCTCCATTCCCTTCCCAGCCCCCTCAGCCTCTCCTGGGGCTCCATTCCCTTCCCAGCCCCCTCAGCCCCTCCTGGGGCTCCATTCCCTTCCCAGCTCCCTCAGCCCCTCCTGGGGCTCCAGACCCTTCCCAGCTCCATTCCCATCTCTGGATTCACTCCAGCCCCTCAAGTTCTCTCCTGGAGCGAGCGGCCCAACACCCACCACAGCATCCGAGGAGTGGCTGGAATTTTTTCCCCCTGAAAAAAATAAACAAAAAACTGAAAAACTAAGTAAATAAATCTCTTATTTTTGCAGAGGCACCTTCCAGCAGAGCCCGTGTGGGAATGCTGGCATTCAGTGCCATCCCTCCCACAGGACCGCTCTGGCTCTCCCTTCATCACTTTGGTTTGTGCTGCTCTGAAATCATTTTCCTTGCTCCTGCAGCTCCTGTAAAGCCAGAAGAGCTCTCTCTATATTTGTTTCCAGGATGCCTTTTTCTCCTCTGCTTACAACTATAAAAGCAGCTTTTCATGCTCCAAATCAGAGATAAATGGGAATTGCTGCTGAAGAAATAAAACACAAGGCTAATCAAACTGTGGCATGGGAGGCAGCCTTCGGCCAGTGCACTTTTGAGAGCTATTTTTAGACTCATTTTTATTTTGTCACTCCATATGGGAAGTCAAACCCATATGGTTTGGGAGAATGGAAGGTTGTGCTTTTATAGTGATCTCACAAACTATCCCAGCTCAGCTTTGTCCTTAAACTCCTGCTCAATTCCAATTGTCTGAGGTGGGACTGGAGGTTGTAACATCACAATTCCCTCCTGAGGTGTAAAACTATTCTACATCTGTTAAACCAGCCTCCAGTTAACTCAGCTCTTCTTAGTTACAACTTTTCTCATTCTTACACCTTTCTTTTTTCCTTTTTAATTTCTTCTTTTCTGCTCCAATGTTCTGAAGGCCTGCTGGGTGAGTTTGATCCAGTTCCAGCCAGGATGCAAAGCTGAGCATCCACAGCCATCACTCTCCTGCTATTGACAGTAGATTTTGCTGTCTTCCAAATATCCAGATTTTATTAATAATGAGAATTTTGAGGAATAGGACTTTATTCTGCCCACAACACTTTGTAAATTCAGAGTATGCTGATTTGAGCAATAACTAGCTAGAAAAGGTGTTTTCCTTCTGTCAACCTAAATGAATAAAATTGGAAATGTATCCTCAGTGTTCATCCACCAGAATATCCACTTTATTAAGTGTTAAAAGTTTTTCATGATACTGAACCAAAACTTATGTGTCTTTTAGGGATTTTTGTGGCATGGTTAAAAACATTGACAGGAAGTTTCTAACGTGGTAAATTTCAAAGGATCATTTTATGAGTTTTTAAATTGTGATCCTGGAGTTTCTTCCCTTTCCAGTTTTTCAAAAGGTGGAATTAAAAAAACCCAAAAGACAGGCAGAAGCAGCTGGATGCTTTTATAGGTAAAATAGTGAGAAGAGGCTGAGAAGTGTGGGTGATTTGGTTTAGTGGATGTGGTGGAATTGGGTCAAAGATTGGAATGGACAATCTTGGAAGTCTTTTCCAAACTTAGTGATTTTGTGATTTTGTTGTGTGAATTACAGAGTCTCAGGGTAGCAAACACCCCATGGAGCTGCTCTGACTTAGGGAAAATTCCTTTTCTATATTAGTTTTGATTCCAGAGTTGTATTTAACCTCAGTGTAGAAGCAGAGCTAAGGGAAGAGCAGGCCATTGGCACTTAATGTTTTATGCCTTTATTTTTTTCCTTTAGGAAACAAATCTCCCCTTTTTGAGGGGATAAAGTGCAATGGGAATAGGACGGCTCAGTGGAGAATTCCTTGTGGCAGAAGGATGGGCGGCATGGAGATTTCTGAGATGTCTTGGATGTCACTTCCATCAAGTAGAAGGAATGTTATGCTAAACTCTTCATCAAAACTGAGACCTCACGGATTATTTTGTTGGAAAGTCAAGAAAACAACAACTGATTTTTTTCCCCAGGGCAGAGATTTTGTGTTAGAGGAGAAAATGAGAAAACAACCAGACCCCAAAAGAGGGAAAAAGGGAAAACCTGAGATTAGAGAAGGGAAAAGGTATCAAAAGAAATTTGATGAAGCCCTAATTGTGTCCAAAATCCATGATTGTTTGGAAATCCAAGGAACTACTGTTGCATTATCTGTTCAGACGGGCTCTATAATCAGAAAATCCTCATCTCCTACATCCAGCTTTCAAGAGTTCAGTCTATTCAGTTCTGGAATCTCAAAAGACAGGGAAAACACCTGGATTTATGGTGCTTGGGAGTATTGGGATTAGATGCAAGCAGCTGGGTTTTCCAGGAAGGTTATTCTGGAATTTTTGAGTAACACAAGTTCTGGCACAGTGCTGGGGGTGGTGTGGGTACAGGAGCACTGTCAGGTGGACTTGAAACTGGAAAGATTCCTTGTCACATAACTGATCCCAAATTTCACTTGGGATTTTTTTACCAAGTTTCCATTCCCATTGCAAATATATGGATAACATGTTTAGGCACTATCCTTAAAAAAGTAAAGAAATAATTTCTTTAAGAGATGGGTGATCTGTAGAAGACATTTATGTAATTTTACATTCTAAATGTGATTTATATTTATAAATAAATTTGCATAAAACCTCCAGCTCTCGATGTCATAGTTCTAGTCTATCTTTAATTCAGATGCTCCAAAAATGTAAATTGTTTTTACAGCTAAATAAAAGCCATACAAAGCTTCCAGGAGAGAATAATGAGATACACATTGTGCCATGCAGCCATGATAAATCAAGCAGCACCATGGTTACAGCCAAAGTGGGAGGCCATCAGAAACCAAGGAATATCAGCACACAGAGATTCCTCTGGTTTTGCAGAGTAATCTGAACTGAGGGAAACTCATGACACATGTTGGTAAGGGAAAATGTTTACCTTTAAGACCAACAAGCCCCTAAAATGAGGAGGAACACTTGGTTTAAATGGCAGGAGTTTATTATATTTATTATATAATTTATACAATATATTTATCAGCCATATTTGGACCAGGCTCTGCATATATGCAAATTAAAGATACCAGAATTCTTGTAACACAGGGGGGTTTGCCAATGAAGTACAGGCTTATAAAATATGGTTTGTCCATGATGATGGACCCAGGGAGGAGGGGTATTGGGATCCCTCAGTCATTGGGATCCTTAGTCAGTAAAGGGCTCCAAATGCTGCAGATCTGGATTAACCAACAGAATAAAAACTGGGTCCCCCTCATCAGTAATTAACTCAAACATGAGGAGATAATTATCCCAAATAAGGGTGTGAAAAACCTAAGGGATGGGAGTCATAGAAGGGTAAACAAAAGGTCAGAGAAGGCTCAGCCTCCTTTCCTGATGAAGACACCCAAGGAATAACTTACCTGGATTTTCAAGAGGACAAACCTTGCATTCTGTGACTTGCTGTGGCTGATGCAGGTAGGTCTCATAATTCTCTGGTTCTATCTCATCTGTGGCTATGTCTCCCAGTAAAACTGGGATTTTTTTGCTGTTTGTTTGCTGCTGGAAATGTCTAAATCCTGCCTGCTCTTCAAAGCTTGTGTAAAACGCACTAAAGCCGATTTTCACAGCACTGCTGACTTGTTTGCTGAGTTATGCTGGTCTTGCTTTAATTAAGCTCAATATTAAGGTCAAACAGGGTCAGCATTAAGGTCAAACGCTCCAAGAGTCACTTGATGATTCTGCAGGTCTTTTCCAAGCCTGATGATTCCAGGTTTCTAAGAGCGGCTCTCCAGGAGCTGGTGGCTGCTCCAAGGCTCTTTGCAGGAGGAAAGGTGCAGAGGAGCAGGAGTGATCAAGGAATGAAGGAATGTGTCCAGTGTGTCTGGATGAGTGACCACAGGGAATTCTTGGAGGAAGCAGCTGTGACAGGCCCTCCTGTAGAGCCCAAATTTTGCAGAATGTTTGCTCTAGAGCTGCCACTTTCCAGTTTCATTTTGTGTGCAGCAAACCTGGGTGTGTTGGGGCCTGCTGCTTTTCCCTTGGGGTTTCCTCGTCCACACAAAAAAAGAAGCACAGGTTTTGTGCTAAATTGTAAACTGGCACCAGCCAGGCCCCGGTGGGATTCTGAGCCCCTCGCTGAGGAGGTGCTGAGCTGTTTGAGCCCCATGAGCCCTCAGCATCCTGCAGGAGAGATCCCTGTGGATCCCCTCCCAGGCACGTGGGCAGTGAATGGGGACAGCCCCAAACCCCTCAAAAGCAGAGCTTTGTTCTGCTGAATTGGGCAGTGAATGCTCTGGGCATCCCAGAGAGCCTGGCCAGCCCTGTTGACTCCTAAGGGCCACTCGTGTGCCTTAATTGAGGCAGTGCCTGAATGCTTTAACTGGGTGGGATCAGCACAAACATCCCTGAATGTCAAGCTCTCTTCTCTGTTCTCTCTTCTGTCTCTGTTTTCTAAAGCTAATGACCACCAGGCATTAAAAACACAGTTCTGGGCTTTGGAGATGCTGAAGCATCTTGTTTCCTATTAATGAAAGTGAATGCCTTCACCTTAAAATAAAATGTCTTTACTTCCAAGACGTTGGAGCATAGGAAAACAGAGTGCTGTACACTTAATGCCCTCAGGAGTTTTCAGCTATATTAAAATGTCCATAACTTTAAGAAAAAAGAAAAAAATATGCTGCTTAGAAATACTTAAAAAATCACCCTCAGCAGACAGCTCTTATGACAAGGCTCTGCCCAGAGTGAATTTTTATGCTTGAGTTATAAACCCTTGAAAAATGGGGATCCTAATACAAAAGCTGACACAGCTTTAACTAAAGCAGCTCTAGTAAGTGCTGCTATAATTATTTGCTCATTAATTACAAATTTTGCAAGACATGAGAGTAACACAAATTGGAAAATAGGAATAATTATCAGTAATAACGCCACAGAAGCTGGACACATTGAAAGTATCTTCCTCTTTAAATTTAATAATAGCAAGACAGCTAGAAAACTAATAAGAAATACATAATTGAAAATTAACCTTGCAAATCTGCTGTTAATAAACCATGGTACTCTTGCACTACAATAATTTTACGCAGCCCTTAATTTGCATTTGAAGTGTTATTCCAGGTAATACTTTGTGCCTTCACAACAATTAATGTGTCTTTGAATTAAAACAAAAACGCCAGGGTTGGGTTTGGGATAGCTGGGGAGGAGGGAATGGTTTATCCTGTGATTTTTAGCAGCTCGGGGCTGGGATGGCTGGAAATCAAATGTACAATGGGGATTTTTGTGCTGGGATGCCTCAATGCCGTTTTGTTGTTGTTGAATCCGGGCATTGTGGTGCTCCGTGCTTTCATCCCCCCCTTGTGTAATCCACCAGTTGGGATCACTTGCACTTTCTCATCCTCCGAGGTGTGAGACTTGATTGCTTGGGGATGATTTAAACATCCAGGGCCCAGGGAAGGGGGAGTGTGTGGTCCTTGAGCTCCCCTGCTGCAGCTCAGGCTCTCGAGTGGATTTCATGGATCTGATGGGGGCAGCGCTGGAGGCACTGGGGTTTGTGGGCAGGCAAAGCCAGTGCGGCCCCTGGCTCAGTGAAAGGAGCTGCTGGCACCTCGTGCCTGAGGTTTTCTCCCCACTCAAAGGGAAGTGGCACTTCCTTCTGAATGTTTTATATCTGTTAGCAATTGACAAAAGCCTCCAAAAAAAATCTTAAATCAATCAATTTGCATGTAAAGATGAAGAGAATTGTTTACTCAAAACGCAGACTGAGTCAACTGCTCTTGCTAAGTATCTCCCACTCACAAAATAAACCTGATATATATCTCTGCCTGCACAGAAAACTCGGAGCCAAGAAGTGTTTAATAATTTTGGAACACATATCTAGCGAGCTCTGAGCGCTCAGCTGAAAGAAAGGACAGATTCTAGGAAAAAAATCATGCCTGACAGCTGACTTGTATTATATTGCAATACTAATGGTAGTGGAAGTATATCCAGGCACTCAAAGTTGTGTATGACCAAGCAGCTTTTAAAAAAATAAAATAAAAATAGAAAAAATAACCCAGAGACCTCCAGTGTTTGGCATCAGAGAGGAGGAACATTGTACACAAACAATTGGGTTAAGAGTGTGCACTCCAAACAGGGTTTCTGCACAATTCCAAACTCCATCAAGGGCTGCATGTAAAATGTTGGCTTCTTTGTGCAAACCCACAAATCCTGGGGAAAAGGCCACGTGGGGTCAGCAATTCAGCTGTTTGCCTGCTCACTTTATGTAAGAGGTTAGCAGCAGTGTGCTTTTTGTCCCAAGCCAGCAATAGCAGGAACAGCTTGGTTCTGAGAGGGCTGGGGCTCCCCTCGTAGTGCTGGAGAAGGGGTCCTGAAGTAAACCTTGATGGGGATAGCCTTGGGTTTGACCTCTTCTCCATTTATCTGGCTGTGTGTGTTCGTCTCCCATTGCTCCCCTCAGCCTGTAAAGCTCAGGCACCACCAGCACAGGTACTTTGCTTTTGTTTCAATGTGTTTCGGGGGTTTTCAAGCACATGGCAATGTAGGAAAATAAGGAATTTTGGGTGCCTGAACTCTTCCCCCAGAGGAGCTGGAGGGGTTGGATGGAAAGAAAATCTTCTATCTGCTCACAGCTCTGGGTGAAATCCCAGCAGCATCCCAGGTCTCTGTGGCTTCAGCCCAAGGAGGGAGAGGATTTCTCCTTCCAAATACCTTTGGAACTGGATACACAGTAAAAAAATAGAAAAACGAAAAATTTCTTTAAAATTTCTTCTTCTTTGGGACAAAGCTCTTTGAGCAGTGGAGTAGAGCTTGTTTTAGGGGTGTGAGGCCCTGGCACAGGGTGCCCAGAGAAGCTGTGGCTGCCCCTGGAATCCCTGGAGGTGTCCAAGGCCAGGCTGGACAGGGCTTGGAGCAGCCTGGGACAGTGGCAGGTGTCCCTGCCCATGGCAGGGGTGGATTAGTTGGTATTTAAGATTCCTTCCAACCCAAACCATTCTCTGATTCTATAATTTGTGTGGATTCAGTGTCACCAAGCTTGAACTTGCTGACATGAAGGAGGTTTTAGTTCATCCATCAGGATTTGGGAATGGAAGAGAGCAAGGATGGGAGTCCTCAGCTTAACCCTGGTCAGGGTTTGACCCCTACATTTGTGAATGTAAGAATTGATGGTAAGAGCTGGCCAGGGAAGGGTTGTGAAAGGCTGAGTGGATGAACCTGCACTTCCACGTGTGTCTGTAGGTCCTTCTGAGAGTTCCATGCAAGCCCAGAGGGAGTTTTGGGGCTGTGCTGGTTTTGGTTTGGGATTTCAGAATCTCAGCCAGCCCATGGCACCTCTTGGACAGAGACAGCCTTGAGATGAAGAGGAGCAGGGAATGGGCAGCCACAGAGCCAGCCTGGGGGAAAAGGAGATGGAAAAGTCCTTCTCCTTCTGAAAACCAGCAGGCTGGGGGGGAAATGTGCCTCTACTGCAGCTCCTGAGGCTCCTCTGCCAGTGGATCCCAATCAGTATTCTGTTCATCCCTGCTTTCTCAAGGAAAGACATAAAGGAGCAGCATAGCCAAAAGGAAGCTATGCTTCTTCTATTTTTAGAAGATGGAGAGATGATTCCCCCCCCCCCAAAACCATTCTGCTGTTATTTATGTTGCGTGGTTCTTGAGTTATTTATTTCAGTGGG